ATATATATATGATAGAATACTTATAAATACTTATAAATAATTTATGAATATGATAGAATGATAGAATACTCGTTGAGTTCCATGTATCCCGCGCTGTGAACTGTAGTGTTCCATGATTCTCTCCACATAAGCTGCGTTGGTTTGGAGCTGCTTTGCCAGTCCCGGCTTCCATGACCAAGACTCCCACGCGTTCTAATCAGCGCCAAGGTACGCTGTCAGGATTGCATTAACCTCTTGACAGCATATTCCCATGAAATGCACGTCAACAGTGAAAACAGACAAGCATAATTTAAAACACCATCAGATATAGAACACCATATTCCCATGAAATGCACGTCAACAGTAAAAACAGACAAGCATAATTTAAAACACCAACAGATATAGAACACGATATTCCCATGAAATGCACGTCAACAGTGAAAACAGACAAGCATAATTTAAAACACCAACAGATATAGAACACCATATTCCCATGAAATGCACATCAACAATAAAAACAGACAAGCATAATTTAAAACGCCAACAGATATAGAACACCATATTCCCATGAAATGCACATCAACAATAAAAACAGACAAGCATAATTTAAAACGCCAACAGATATAGAACACCATATTCCCATGAAATGCACATCAACAATAAAAACAGACAAGCATAATTTAAAACACCACCAGATATAGAAGTTGATAAACTTATCGTGTGTGGAGAGAAGAGAGTATATAAGAATTCTTATCCGACGCGTGTCAGTTTCTTATTGTCAGCCTAAAAGTCAGCTCTTTCGCTTCTGCCTTCAGGATGTTGGAATAATACGACACTAGTGAAGAAAGAAAAAAAAGAGAAAGGGAAAGAGGGAAGAAATATGAAAACATAACCAAATAAAATAGATAAATGAATTGGTAAATAACAAATAATAGACGAATAATGATTTGTAATAATTCTTAGGTGTATTATAATACGACGCCAGAGACAGACAGAAAGAGAGAGAAAGGAAAAGAGGAAAGAAACATGAAAATGAAAGTACAGAAAAAAAAAACTATTTTTTTTAGTACAGTAAATACAACCGGTAAATAGAGACATACATTTGGAAAGGTGAAATATTTCATTCTCAAATTATTGTTAATACTTGTACCAAATGAAGCGTTGGCATTTTAAAAGCTAGAATGCAACGCATATTCCCAACACTTCTCTTTCGTGCTATCACGAATTAAATTAGAAAGGAAGGATGGAAGTGGAAAAGAAAACTATAAATAAGTGACAGGCAGACAAAGGAAAGTAAGGAAGAAGTCACGTGGAAGAGTGAAATAACACTTATTCCGTCATAACCAAAACAACACATGCAAAACATAACCAAATGAAGTATAAACATAAACTAATAAAGAAAACATGTCTTTCCCTAAAATATCCATTAGTAGACAAACAGATTCTCACTTATTTCTGAACATCAGCGGATATCAGCTTTAATCTCTGAAGCGTTCTGTACGATCGTCTTGAAAGTAGTTTCAGTTAACATTCCATGTCAACGATAAACAATAATTTCGTAATTATGTTCATTCAAATTCCTGTTAGAAAAAATCTTGTTTCTATCATAAACTTCATATATTTTTCTGTTCAAGTTTTTAGCCAACTGCAGTACGTTTTCAACGGCAAACATAAATTAATACATAACTTTCGTAAGTCGCAATTAAATTATATGCTCTATCAATAGTGTATACGTTTAAAAGAATCTTCGAATGAATAATAAAACAATATATTAAATGGTATCATTACAAAATATTTTTTTTAAAGATGGGAATAGAGTAAAATGAAATGTAAACAAGATGATATAATAAGGTGAATTACAATCCATTCCATACCAAAACACAAGATACCTATCCACTAGATGTATATTTAGCACTGGAGTAGTAGTATTTCACACCTTGGTAACTATGCTGTCTGGTTTGTTTTCATTCCGGACCTTAAGTAGTATTCATTATTTCAAGACACTGCGAACTACAGTGACAACAACCCTTTCATAATACATAAGTAAACATCAAGCTGCTGTAAAGAGGAGATCGTGCAGTTCGTTCTATGTTGCAAGTCCAAAAACTGCAACCATGATTATACTAAATCGGATCTCATTGCAAACAGACCTATGCTTCTCTTCTGTGAGTTCGTGTTTCTTATCTGAAGTGGGCAAAGTGGAACGAAAACAACGCTAAACAAGACAATGTAATAATATAACCTCTTTCCTTCCTTCCCCATTTGCTTCTCCTGATTTTTATTACTTTTCCTTCATCACTTGTTCGTCCTCTTCTTCCCATTCTTTGCTTCTCATATTACTAATACAATCACAAGATTATGAGAGGAATAACAAAATTGTGAAAACGCGCATAAACACCAACAAACAACAGATCCCCCAGCAACCCCCCCCCCAAAAAAAAAGTAAAATCCAATGCTGCAATTCCTCCATACTCCACAATATAAACAGGAAAAGGCACAGAAACAAGAGCAGAAAGATAGAAGGGCAGGTAAGTAGATAGAGATGCAAACAGAAATTCATTCATAAAAACATTTACACTGCGTCTCCGTCGGGGTTCGAACCCGAGTCTGTCGAGTATCAGGCAACTGTGCTAACCACTACACCACGGAAACATTTTCTATGTTACTGCACTTTACTAGAATTAAATATTAAAATATATAAATAATGTACATTTAGATGCTTCAGTTGTTCCATGATTAATTGACAAACAAGTTACACACACACATTCCTTTTTTTCTTGTTTTCTCTCCATCAGCTTGTCTGTATATTTATCTATCTGTCTGTATCTATATGTTTTCTCTCCCATTCTATTATTCTCGTCTTTCTCTATCACCTGCCTGCATATCTATCTATCTGTATCTATAACTATATCTGTCTATCAACATCCTGATCCTCAATGTATTTTTCTAGTTTTAAAATTTTACACACATGGAAGCAAGCGTGATGTTGACTCTCTCCCTGCAACTCACCCGGGATAAAATAATGTCTTGTCTTCCCTAGTTTACTGTCAGATTTTTTTTTCAGACTGGAGATACTAAACCGAAAAATTTATGTTTCCCTGTTAAACCTATCACCATGACATGGAAACTAAAACCAAAAGGACTAAGAAACCGGATCCTAGCCCCCCCCCCCCCCCCCCCGGTCACATGTTCGAGACGTGACGGATGTTGTCAGCTGATGTTATTCCTTCTCCTGGCATCGCCTCCTTCCCTCTTCGTGCCTCTCGCGCCTTCTGGCCTCGAATGCAGGAATTCCAGTAATCATGTCAATTTAGATGTCAACTGCATTCCTATTTGGGATTAATAGGCAGTGACCAAAGACACTTACCGTGCAATATGAGATGATGATTAGAAAATGAGAAGAGGAAGTAATAAAGAAAGTGGGACAGAGGTACAGGCAGATAATAACATCCCGGTTCACTTTCAGAAAAGCAGGTATACAGGTGAAAGAAACTTGGGAATGGATGGAAATAGAGAGAAAGGTATAATATTCATAAAAAGGGTCATGCTAAGGATAAAAATAATGGAAATAATGCCTATAACCGTTATGACCGTTGAAGTGGTCATAGAACTGATGATATAAATTAATCAAAAAATAAGAAATAATAGAAGTAATGATAATTATAAGAGGGATATAAGTAAATATATCAATGCCGGTAGTTATGGTCTCTATCTCTTAGTAAATAATGATGTAAACAATAGTGAGTTGCCACCTAGCTACTATTATGTGCACCTTTTTAACATCAAAATCTCGCTCTTTTCTTTCTTTCTTTCTTTTCTCTAAGCCTTTGCTTCACCGATCATCGCTCTTGCATAGCGCTGATTTTCTAATGTCTCCCTCTCTCCCTCATTCTCTCTATCTCTGTCTATGCACCGTTTATTTTTACATCGCTACCTATCTAGCAATCAGTCACGCTCTGTTTTTCTCTTTGTCTACTGAACACAATGGTAACAAGTGAGATTGAATTTTAAAAATGTTTGTACGTTTTGCATTTTTTTTTTCTTATATTTCTTATATTGAAACAAAAATATTAGTTTCCATGATATAACCCAGAAGTTTACGATCCAATAGGTTCTCAATACTGGGTTTCCTCGTTTTCTCTATCTATCCCTATCTATCATAATATAAACAGCTCACTGTATTTTAAGTAGCTGCGAATGTGGCTAAGTAAGTCATCGAGATTTGATAATCAAAAAGGAGCCACTGCACAGCTTATTGAAAAAAGTATGTACACATACAAATTCACTGATAACATGGCCTACACACACGCACACATATGTATATATGTTGCATATATATATTGAACTGCAAGCTGAAAATGATGGAAATAAAATAAAAGAACTAACAATGAAACAAAAGCCTACAGAGAGATAAGATAAAACTAAAAATAAAGTGGAACTTAAAACACGGAAAACTACCATCGAAGATTCCCAATACAGGGCTTCCCCGTTTTCCTTTTAATTCTACCCATTTTCTATGATGATGCAGGTTATCATATACTAGCCAGAGTGAATAAGTAAAAAAACGAAATTGATCATCTAAAAGGAGCCACGGCACTGACTATCGCACAAAAAAATATATAATTTACAGAAAATCAGAATCAGAATATTTCAAATGTATACACACACACACACACACACACACACACACACACACACACACACACACACACACACATATATATATATATATATATATATATATATATATATATATATATATATATATATATATATATATATATATATATATATATATATATATATATATATATATATATATATATATATATATATATATATATATATATATATATATATATATATATATATATATATATATATATATATAATAATGTGTGTGTGTGTACTGAAATGCAAGTTTTTAGATTATGAAGATATGAAAAGAAAGAAATACAAATGAAATGAAAGACTTACGAGAAACAGAACTGAACTTATAAACTGAGGCTTCAAGCGACGGA